TTTACTGGCTTCCATCCGGCCACTTTACCATAAAGGCCTGATTGGTGGAGTGCTGCAGAGATGGTTGTCCTTCTGGAAGGTTCTCCCATCTCCACAGAGGAACTCTGGAGCTCTGTCAGAGTGACCATCGGGTTCTTGGTCACCTCCCTGACCAAGGCCCTTCTCCCCCGATTGCTCAGTTTGGCTGGGCGGCCAGCTCTAGGAAGAGTCTTGGTGGTTCCAAACTTCTTCCATTTAAGAATTATGGAGGCCACTGTGTTCTTGGGGACCTTCAACGCTGCAGACATTTCTTGGTACCCTTCCCCAGATCTGTTCCTCAACACAATCCTGTCTCGGGGCTCTACGGACAATTCCTTCAGCCTCATGGCTTGGTTTTTGCTCTGACATGCACTGTCAACTGTGGGACCTTATATGCTGCTCACTCTTGGATTGCGTCCTAACTGACAGGTCGCTCCTACCAGGTGGCGTGGCGAGATTCTGTCTCCGCACCACGTGCTCTCACCACTGGTGTCCTCCAGGGCTCAGTTCTAGGCCCTCTCCTATTCTCTCTATACACCAAGTCACTTGGCTCTGTCATATCCTCACATGGTCTCTCCTATCATTGCTGCGCAGACGAGACACAATTAATTAACTTCTGATAACCAGGTGGCGAATCGCATCTCTGCATGTCTGGCAGACATATCAGTGTGGATGTCGGATCACCACCTCAAGCTGAACCTCGGCAAGACGGAGCTGCTCTTCCTCCCGGGGAAGGACTGCCCGCTCCATGATCTCGCCATCACGGTTGACAACTCCATTGTGTCCTCCTCCCAGAGTGCAAAGAACCTTGGCGTGACCCTAGACAATACCCTGTCGTTCTCCGCTAACATCAAAGCGGTGACCCGATCCTGCAGGTTCATGCTCTACAACACAGAGTACGACCCTACCTTACACAGAAAGCGGCACAGGTCCTAATCCAGGCACTTGTCATCTCCCGTCTGGATTACTGCAACTCGCTGTTGGCTGGGCTCCCTGCCTGTGCCATTGAACCTCTTTAAGGAATACCTGGAATAGTATAAAGTAATCCTTCTTTCCCCACCCCCCATAAAAAAAAAAAAAGTGGTTGTCCCACTGGCTATCATAAGTTCAATGCACCAATTTGTAAGTCGCTCTGGATAATAGCGTCTGCTAAATGATGTAAATGTAAATGTTATATAGACAGGTGTGTGCCTTTCCAAATCATGTCCAATCAATTGAATTTACCACAGGTGGACTCCAATCAAGTTGTAGAAACATCTCAAGGATGATAAATGGAAAGAGGATGCCCCTGAGCTCAATTTTGAGTCTCATAGCAAAGGATCTGAATACTTAGTAAATAAGGTATTTCTGTATTATGGGGTATTGAGTGTATTTTGAAGGCATTTATGGCAGAAAGAGTATCTGGTTACCATGGAGATGGCCTGATTCACTGACTAAAGTCTCCTCAAAGAGATTGCTTTAATTTTGTGAGATAGAAAAATAGAACTTCTACAATCAAGAAAGGATAACCACCCGTAGGGGGCAGAATAGAGCACAAAAAACAAAACAAAAAAAGACAGGATAACCAAATTGCTTCAGAAGATAATAGACCACGTTTCTTATAGTTACTTTTTTTTCAACTTGTTTATTTTACTTTCTAGTAAGTCAAGCTAGCTTACAGAGTAGATATAGCTAACTAGCCAGTTAGCTAGCTTTGTAGCCATGGATTGTGCACCTTCCATTGTTTAGCTAAATAGCTAGCTAGCTGGTTGATGTTTTCCTTTTGTAGCTAACTAGAGCAGATGAAAGCTAAATTCACCTCCACAAATGCTGTTCACATTGATATCCATACTGAATGATGCAGTTAAGGGACCTCATGGGCTTTTTCATTTAATTGAAGGGGGAAATTCACCTTAAAATGTTTTGTGCAACTGACTAAAAGTTAAGGAAACTTTAAGGGAAAAGATAAGGGGGAAATTAACTTAAGGTGTTTTATGCAACCGGGCCCTGAGGGTATAAAATGTCCGCCGTCCACTCCCACCTCTTTATTGCTGGTTAATTATAGCCTGCAGAGTGGTAACCGTGGTGACAGCCTGGGTGGCAGCCACGGCAACTAACCAAGCGGTCTTCTTATTTGACTTTCACCGCAGTGCTCCACCATGACACGTTACGGGAGGTCACAGTCACATAGAACTTGTAACGAATTAAACATAGATATGAGTGTGTAATGCGTGTACATTTCACTGACAATTGACTAGATTAGCATGAAACTTCAACTAAAAGCTCAATAAATATTTTTTGTATTGTCCTCTATTCTTGAGGGTAGTGGACAGCAGACGAGGAGACGTAGATGTAGAATATAAACAGAACCGTACATATACTGGACTGTATTTGCTCATGAGGCTAAACCAGCCAATCTGATCCTGACAAAGACTCAGTTATTGATCAAAACATACTCCATAGTATAGAAAAGACCATTGGGGATATGGATACCAGTATGAGTGGATACATTGTTTTTCTCTCTGGTTCCTCTCAGCTGGCAGTGCCCCACAGTGAGGACTGGGCACGCTTCACCCACACCCTGATGGAGCTCAAAGCCAACCGGGCCGACGGCGAGGAGGAAGGGCCTGTGGAACTGACGCCATAGGATTGGAGAGATCACCTACCGGGATCACCATCCAAGCATCGACAGGCACAGTGGGCAGATCACTAGAGGATCCAGCCTATCAGAAAGCTTTGTTCTCACACCTTTATGACATAATTCCACACACCTATCAAAGCAGCAGCATGTGTTCTAGACCCCACCCCTTCAGTCTCTTTGCGACAGCTACTATATACAGCAGTGTGTCCAGGCTAGGACGTGCTTTCTCTCTGCTCTATTTGCATCACTGTTTGGGGGGGATTACTTTTTTTGCAATTTATGTTAATGTCGGATAGTCGTATGAGACTAACTAGAGAACTACTAGCTTCTTTTAATGTATTTTTTTGTTCATTTTATTAATTGATTGATTTACTTAATTTATGTGGTCAGTTGTCAAACATTGTTATTGCTTATAACCTAAATGAACTCCATATCGAATCATAGATCCTACTACAGTTGTGAATCCCTATGAAACTAGCAGTGAGAACTGTTAGACAGGACCTACAGAACTCTATATTGTCATGTTACAAAAGTGTCATGTTCACAGTGCTTTCGTTGTGCTTTTTTCTGTATCCAACCCCCTGCATGCATGCAACACATTTATGGGTTCCTACAGCTTCATAGACATGTCATCGTATGTTGTGGATGTATATAACTGCTTTATGTCAATGTTATAAGGGAAAGTGAAAGGGGGATACCTAGTCAATTGTGCAACTGAATGCATTCAACTGAAATGTACAGGACTATAATGTACGTATGTGAGGGTTATTGCACTGTTCAATGGCTACAGGCCTAAGCAACAAATTCTGGTTTAGCACGTTGTTTAGTGTAAGTGCTACGTGAACTGTAATGAACAAAAGAGACATATATTGTAATCTAGAGTCTGTGCCTGCTGTCTATCGTGATATATCCGCCAATAAATCATGGCTGAAGAACTGTTAGCTTGTTTACTACTTTTTGTTGTTTAAGTACTGTAATTATAGTGTCACAAGTTGGACGTTTGGCTGTTGTGATTCTGTCCTCGCCTCTCGTACCAGGCGTCAAGCTTTTCTCCACAACATACCACCTTGTCAAAGAACACATGCACACACACTTTGTTCACTAACATTAGATGTTTCTCTTTAATTTCATTAGTACATATACATATTGCTGCCATACATACAGTAAGGCACAATTATCACACACCATATTCTACACCAATACCGACGTCTTTCGTGACACCATGAGGCTGTTCCAGAAATATGGTCAACACCATGCAGCTACTACCGTTAGTCAGTGACACCATGGGTCTGTTTCAGAAAGCTGGATAAATGAGTTAGCAAGCTAACTGTCCAACATTGCTTAAAATAATTAGATATTTATAGAAATAGAAATATAGAAATATAGACGTAGGGCTCTATTCAATCTGTATCGATGAAGCGTTACAGATTGCGCGCTAGAAATGTAAAGGTAATTTCCGATAGGGCTGATATGCGCAGCGTTTACGGTGAATGCAGTCTGCGACCGCGAGAACATTGCCTTTAATTGTCAATCGCGCTATAAAGCTGAACTTCCGTGATACGGATTGAATCGAGCCCTTAAAATTGGCAAGATATAATTGACTCGACAACAACATCCAGTATACAAATGTAGCGTTCTTATTCAACCCGAAAATAATATGTGGTTGTTTATCAGTTAACTGGATAACTTTATAATCCTGCTTTCTGGAACACGCCACATCTCTCTACTCTCTCCGCCTGCTCTGCTGTACCCTGATTCTTTAAATAGACATTTATACAACACACAGCCCAGTTTGATCTGACTGAGACAACTCAATTTAGGATAACAGACAGTCCACTACAATACCATAGTAGTGGTAAAACCTTGTGCAAGTAGTGGTAACACTGAACAGTATATTACATTCAAGCGTTTTGTTTGGTCGATCTTTTCTGTTTTCTCGAAATAAAATTTTAATGATCAAGATTATTAGTGTTCCTTCTCAGTATCCAAAAAGCGACTCGGTGAACTGTATCAATATGAAAATATGTCTCTCTGTTCCGTTCTCATATGTACAGTAGAACCGTTATTCGGATGTGAGAGCTTGTGCCACTATCCCCATCGTTAAAATCACATTTAACATGGAAATAAAAACATGTCCAATTGACAGAGTTCCTGCGGATAGGGCTCATTCTGTTGGGTATCTATCAGACTCTCAGGTGGAAGACAGTAAAAGCACCATAATATAAAGTGATGGTTAGGCCGAGATTCAATCAAATGCGCGTTGTCGACAAGCACATTGCACTGTCAACAATGTGTCTTTTAAAGGCAATTTACCGGATGTTCGCAGAGATCGCATTCATGGTAAATGCGGTACATGTCGGCTCAAGTGTAAATTACCTTTAAAAGCAAGTGCAACGCACTTGTTGACAATGCACTTTTGAATGAGTCCCGGCCTTAGTGATGATGTAATGAAAGGAAGCAGCCAGGTCTAATTCAAGACATGGCCAGCCCCTCCACTACTGTGCATATTACTGTATGAAAAGACAAACTATAACAACACTACTCTAGACACACATTGTCAGTACTGTAGATATTGCTTGATCTTCACAATAAGACTGACTTAAAAAGTCATCTTTACGGGTAGCTGAGACTAAAACAGAAGCTAAACCAACTTATTTGTATTTCTAGACCATGACGTATAAAGGTAGTTTCAAGAAGATCATAATAGGTTTAAAAAGAAAAAATAATATAAACTAAAACATAGATACATTCCTTCTCTTTAAAGCCTAGAGAGGCAAATCATACTACTCAGAATGTGCTTCTCTTTCGGCTGGAATATTCCAAGTGCTCGACTGGGCGGGGGTGGGAGGGAGAGGATGTAACGATTGCACGTGTGCTCTATTCTGCCCCCTATGGGTGGGCAGAGGGGATTCAATTCAAGGGGTGTCCTCCTTGGATGGGGGGGTTACTTGTACGTTGTATCTTTGGGAGGGTGGAGGTCCCAAATTTGGCTTCTCGATGGGGCCCAGCGAAATTGTGGCCACGGCCAACCTGAAACTCCGATGTGGTCGGGGCTGGGGGCGCCGGCAGGCTGATCCGGGACTGGGAGGAGTCGGCTCCGAGCCAGACGGCCTTTCTGTGGTGTGGAGAGAGAGTGGGGAGGGACGATGAGCGAGTGAGGTATGAGGGCATGGGAGGTGAGACGATATCTAGGCGAGGATAAAGGAGGGATGAGATATAGAGGCGAGGATAAGGAGGTAGAGGAGGATAGAGAGAGCGAGAGATAAGAGAGAGAGGAATGAGGAGAGGAGCGATAGGAGATATATGGCTACGTTTCATTTAGCTCGAAGATAGCCGTCTAGAAGGGAGAGATAGGCGAGAGGCAAAGTTTTATATTAAACATTGTCCACAGCACCCAAAACATTTAACATTCTAATCGAATATTAAGACTGGGCGAGAGGGCTATTTTTCCCCAGAGCACTGGAACCAGAAATAAATGAATATCCCACAATGGTTTCATACTCCCTTCAGTGATATCTTTCCATACGGAAAAGGGAAACCATATTTCAAACCCACCACTACAAAAAAAAACCCATCGACAGTACTGTTTTCACATTGAACAAAACAAAGTCTGTGAAGACTACACAGAATGCATGTTGGATATTTACAGTACATAGGGTTTTGCATACTAAATTGAGTTTTTTTGACTTTCCAATGGGCTGTAAACAGTCCAATATACAGTATCTCTTGATTTTCTGGTTTATTAAGTAAGCTAAACTTGAATATGAGTTGTTGGTTGTGGAGTTAATTATACCAGCGATTTCAAGTCTATTTTCTGTTAAGAGACAGTTATGTCAGAATTAAGATAATTAAGCAGTTCAACTAAATTTGATCTGTTGGCGGAAAGGCTCCCCAGAGTCTGGAACCTAGACTATAATGATCATCCCACATGGTTTTCATCCTTCCCCAGTTGGGTTCTGTTCCAACGGAAGGGCAGGAAAATTTTGCACTCACTACAAGCGCCCTAAAAAGCATCTGCATAATGTTTTCACATTGAACAAAAAAGTACTTGACAACATCTCACATAGCATGTTGGATATTAAGTAACATAGGTTTGCATAACCCTAAATTAAGTATTGACCCAATGCTGTAAAGTCCTATATAAAGTATTTTAAAATTTGTCTGGTTTTATTAAGTATTGACAACTTTAATATATTGTTGTTTGGATAACATCATGTCCTAAATTTAAGTTTATATTTGTATGCACATAGAAAGTATTACAAAATTTATTCAGAACACTATATTAAAGTCATTGATCCAGCTTTCTGTCAATAGCCCCAAAGTATTGACAACATTATGTCAGTACACAGTATATGTCAGTATTCCCTGTAATCATTATGTAAGCATGACACTTGCGAAACTATTTGTTTGGATTCGTTTCCCAATGTAAAGTATGAAACATTATGTCAGTACAGTAATTAAAGTATTGACAACATTCGGGTCAAAAAGCACTATAATGTAAAGTATTGACAACATTATGCATAACAGTATATATAAAGTATTGACAACATTCTGTCAATAGCACTATATGTAAAGTATTGACAACATTATGTCAGTAACACTATATATAAAGTATTGACAACATTCTGTCAATAGCACTATATGTAAAGTATTGACAACATTATGTCAGTAACAGTATATATAAAGTATTGACAACATTCTGTCAATAGCACTATAGTAAAGTATTGACAACATTCTGTCAGTAACAATATATATAAAGTATTGACAATATTCTGTCAATAGCACTATATATAAAGTATTGACAACATTCTGTCAGTACCACTATATGTACAGTGTAAAGTATTGACAATATTCTGTCGCTACCACTATAAGTAGAGTATAATAGTATTGACAACATTCTGTCAATACCACTATATGTACAGTTTAATAGTGAATGGAATGTATATGGAATGTATCCTAACAGCCTCCCCCTTACCCTCCTGTCTCTGTCTCTTATTGGTCAATGGAACATTAGAAAAGTGCATTCTAAAGAGTGACCAATTTGCTCCGCCAGGGAAAATTAGCTCATTTTAACCCAAAAAGCTGAAAGGAGAAAGAGCCCAAGTCAAAGTGATTCTCTCTGCACTGCTTCACACTCTGTAGCCCTGTAGTTTAGGAAATGTTACGTCCATCCCACCAAGTAATGGTCTGCATCCCAAATGGCAACCTATTCTCTATATAGTGCACTGCGTTTGACCAGAGCCCTATGGTGTTCTTTGTGAAACTACACATCTCTCTCCCTCTGTTGAAAGGTTGGTAGAAAAGTGGTGCTAGAAATTACCATCATTTTGTTTCACACAGCAGCTGTCAGTAGAAGCTATCATTTCTGACTGGACATTTCTATGACATTTGCGTTTCTGGATTTCTCAGTCTTATCATGTGGTAAGACACTTACAGGTGCATCAGAGCTGGGACCGAAAGACTAAGAAGCAGCTTCTATCACCAGGCCATCATACTGTTGAACAGCCATCACTTGCCCCGCACCTTGAGACTAATGTCCTATGTACAGTCGTGGTCAAAAGTTTTGAGAATGACACAAGTATTGGTCTTCACAAATTTCGCTGCTTCAGTGTTATGAGATATTTTTGTCAGATGTTACTATGGTATACTGAAGTATAATTACAAGCATTCCATAAGTGTCAAATGCTTTTATTGACAATTACATTAAGTTTATGCAAAGAGTCAATATTTGCAGTGTTGACCCTTCTTTTTCAAGACCTCTGCAATCCGCCCTGGCATGCTGTCAATTAACTTCTGGGCCACAAACTGACTGATGGCAGCCCATTCTTGCATAATCAATGCTTGGAGTTTGTCAGAATTTGTGGGTTTTTGTTTGTCCACCCGCCTCTTGAGGATCGACCACAAGTTCTCAATGGGATTAAGGTCTGGGGAGTTTCCTGGCCATGGACCCAAAATGTCGATGTTTTGTTCCCCGAGCCACTTAGTTATCACTTTTGCCTTATGGCAAGGTGCTCCATCATGCTAGAAAAGGCATTGGTCGTCACCAAACTGTTCTTGGATGGTTGGGAGAAGTTGCTCTCAGAGGATGTGTTGGTACCATTCTTTATTCATGGTTGTGTTCTTAGGCAAAATTGTGAGTGAGCCCACTCCCTTGGCTGAGAAGCAACCCCACACATGAATGGTCTCAGGATGCTTTACTGTAGGCATGACACAGGACTGATGGTAGCGCTCACCTTGTCTTCTCTGGACAAGGTGTTTTCCGGATGCCCCTACCTTTTGCAGAATATCAGTCTGTCCCTGATGTTTATCCTGGAGAGAAGTGGCTTCTTTGCTGCCCTTCTTGACACCAGGCCATCCTCCAAAAGTCTTCGCCTCACTGTGCGTGCAGATGCACTCACACCTGCCTGCTGCCATTCCTGAGCAAGCTCTGCACTGTTGGTGCCCCGATCCTGCAGCTGAATCAACTTTAGGAGACGTCCTGGCGCTTGCTGGACTTTCTTGGGCGCCCTGACGCCTTCTTCACAACAATTGAACCTCTCTCCTTGAAGTTCTTGATGATCCGAAAAATGGTTGATTTAGGTGCAATCTTACTAGCAGCAATATCCTTGACTGTGAAGCCCTTTTTGTGCAAAGCAATGATGACGGCACGTGTTACCTTGCAGGTAACCATGGTTAACAGAGGAAGAACAATGATTTCAAGCACCACCCTCCTTTTAAAGCTTCCAGTCTGTTATTCTAACTCAATCAGCATGACAGAGTGATCTCCAGCCTTGTCCTCGTCAACACTCTCACCTGTGTTAACGAGAGAATCACTGACATGATGGCAGCTGGTCATTTTGTGGCAGGGCTGAAATGCAGTGGAAATGTTTTTTGGGGATTAAGTTCATTTTCATGGCAAAGAGGGACTTTGCAATTAATTGCAATTCATCTGATCACTCTTCATGACATTCTGGAGTATATGCAAATTGCCATCATCAAAACTGAGGCAGCAGACTTTGTGAAAATTAGTATTTGTGTCATTCTCAAAACTTTTGACCACGACTGTATATAGAGTAATTGAACGCCTCATATTCTGGGGTGGCAGATAGACTAGCGGTTAGGAAGGCGAGCCAGCAACCGGAGGGTTGCCAGTTCGAATCCCGGGTCCAACTGGAAAAATCTGGCGGAATCAAAGCCCTTGAGCAAGGCACTTAACCCCCCACAATATCAGCTCCCCAGGCACCCAGTGTGGCAGACCCCACACTTCTCCAAAACCTCTATATAGTGCATTTGGAAAGTATTCAGACCCCTTGACTTTTTCCACATTTTGTTACGTTACAGCCTTATTCTAAAATGGATTAAATAGTAAGTTTTTTCCTCATCAATCTAAACACAATACCCCATAATGACAAAGCAAAAACAGGTTTAATAAAAAAAATATATTTCAGTTTAATAAAAAACTGAAATATGACATTCAGGATCTGAATACTTATGTAAATAAGGTATTTCTTTATTTCATTTGCAATAAATTTGCAAAAAAATCTAAAAACTTGTTTTCGCTTTGTCATTATAGGGTATTGTGTGTAGATTGACAATGTTTTTTTTTATTTAAATCATTTTAGAATAAGGCTGTAATGTAACTAAATGTGGAAAAGGGGAAGGGGTCTGAATACTTTCTGAATGCACTGTATGTATGTATGCATGTGTCTGTGTCTTTTGGAGGTGTTGAGTTAAAAGCTAATTTTGGTTGTACCTTGTGTGCAATTGACCAATAAAAGTGATCTTAACCTCTGATCATAATCTCTTCTGTTTCTATACTGTTGTTTAGTCACTGTGTATGTTTCTACTGTATTCTCCACATAGCTCATCCTAATATACCTACTACTGTGCAGTAATAGAGGCGTCACTACAGACCCTGGTTCAATTCCAGACTGTGTCACAATCCGGCCGTGATTGGGAGTCCCATAGGGCGGCGCACAATTGGCCCAGCGTCGTCCGGGTTTGGCCGGGGTACGCCGTCATTGTAAATAAGAATTTGTTCTTAACTGATTTGCCTAGTTAAATAAAGGTTAACTATATATATTTTTTAAATAATAATGGCCTGTATCACAGCACACACACACAGCTCTCGCCCCCTAGTAAAACAGTAATTCATGCGTTTGGAAATTCGGTTTCCCCTCTACGAAATCTTTTTATCTCTAACTCCGGAAAAGGAAATATACTGATGATACCATTTTCTTCCAAATGATATACCATCTATACACACCACGCATTTATATTCTGGATTCTGACAGGTGCTCACTCTAATATATCTACTTGGATTGTTATTTATTTTGGATTATTTACATTGTATTTGCGAGACATTCAACTTTTCACTGCACCCGCTATAACACCTGCAAATCTGTGTACGCGACCAATAAACTTTGATTTGATTCGACTTCGCAGGCTGCATTTCTTCATTAAGTTTCTAAAAGGAGTGCTGATAAAGGATCAATTTTTTTATAGTAATGAATAACATTATATGGACAGGAGGGGGACCGGAACCTAGCTCAGCCGTCCTATGCTGAGACACTTTATGAATACGGGCCAGGATCATGTCATTCAGTTTAAGATTAGGAGAGGAAGGAGTTCTGACTTACTGTCCGCCAAAGTCAATGTAGAACCACCTCTGCAGGAGTTCATAGGTCACCAGGGTGACCCCAAACTGGGGCGAGGACCGGAACACTCGGGCTATGGTAAAGGGAGAAACCACAACGCTCAATAACACTATTTCACTATTACACCACTGTAGCCTGGGTACCAGTCTGTTTGTGTTAACATTCCACTCCTTCCCTCTTCTTATCATGCCAAACACATAGTACAAGGAGTGAAATGTTGGCACAAAACAGGTTTTGGATTTCAAACTAAACACTTTGTTGTATGAAGGGTTAAAAACAGTTGCAAGTTAGCTAGAGATTACCATGGTACACTTTAACATAATAGTGGAATATGGTTATTAAAAACAACGACAGAGTCAAATAAGACCTAAAGCAATCTACATAATCACGCCACATCAGTGGACCTTTCTAGATAATAATAACAACAATACAGCTGAAAAAGGTGTTAACAGATATGTAATAACAGATAAATAAACTAAATCTGTCATTTATATCATCATCATCATCATCATCATCGTCATCATTATCATCATCGTCGTCATCATTATCATCATCATCATTATCATCATTATCATCATTATCATCATCATTATCATCATCATCATCATCATCATTAACAGCATTATCATCATCATCATCATCCTAGTCATTAAAATCATCATCATCATCATCATCATTGTCATCAACGTCATCATCATTATCAGATATTAATAAAATGTGGTGATACCTCCCGCTCCTTTCCAGAATGCTCGTGGTCCCTCCTCCTTCAGAATCTTCCAGAAGCAGTCAGCGAGACCGTTGTACGTGGTCTGGCCGGCACGGGCCGCCACTTGTAGCCTGGTCTTGATAACATCGGCCGGGGTCACCAGGGAGGCCGCGGGCATGCCTAAGGAGAGAGCGCCTCACTCAGCAATCACACACAGGCAGTCATCTGATTCAGTACTTATTCATTCACCTTTTACTATTATATTTGTTAAGCACTTTGAAATGCATCCCCTGTGAGAAATGTGCTCTATTAATAAAGTTTGACTGATTGATATTAGTACTGGATGTGAATGTAGTGGTTATGCTATTCTGCATCACTATCACTGCTGAATCTGAATGAATACGTTACTGCTGTTGGGTTATACAAAGGTAATAATTGGTATACTTTTGTGCCTCTTTCAAAACATAATTCAATCGTAGTTGAATTTGAGTAATCTGAATGAGAACCAGTGATACGTACAGAAGGTTGTTTACGATCAGAAAAATAAATAAATAAACTGCATTGGAGCTTCATGGTTTCCCCCCTCAAATTGGAGGGATAGACAATACCTGGTAATGAGAAGGACCCACAAGGCGGCCCACGTGCCAGTGACTGGTGACTGGTGACTGGGGGCCCCATACGGGCAGCCCTCTCCAGCCACTTCAGCTATGAATGGCCTCAATCATCAATGGCTGCTTTCGATCGCCATGCACAGTCATTACCATCACCGGCCTCTTCACCAGCCAGTCACACAGACCTTCTAGCTACACGAGCCATTAAATTCAACCACTGATCAACTCACTCACTGCCACTGTGAGAGCTGGAGAGACCACCTGCACTGATGTACTTCACAGAAGAGAAGAGGAGAGGAGAGGAATGGAGAGCAGTCTTAAATCTTCCTCTCAAAGCTACCTCAGTAGAAACCATATTCCTCTCCAGCCATTGAAGAGAGGAAAGGGGAGATAAAGATATTAAAGAGGGGCGGAGAGAGAGAGAATAGAAAGAGGGAAAAGAGAGAAAGACAGACAGAGAGAGAGAGTAGAGAGAGAGATAAGAAGAAGAGGGGATGAGAGATAGATAGATAGAGGAGAGAGAGAGAGATAGAGAGAGCCTCTCTCTCTCTCTTATCTCCTCTCTCTCTCCCTCTGTCCTCTCGCGACTCTCGCGATCTCTCGCTCTCGTCTCTCGTCGCTCTCTCCTCTCCTCAGCTTCATTCGCTGCCCATGCTTCAGTGTGGATCTTGTCCGATCATGGGGGTTCTGCGTTGGCACAATAATTGCCGCCCAAACTGAGCGTGTAACTAAATTTCCTGCGCCGACTGTAAAGCTTTAATTGCCAAAAGGCTTCACCGCTGATAAATGTAGAAAGGAGTGATAAATGCTATGAGCAAATGCAAAATCATAAACTGCATTTCAGGTTTGTAAACCATAGCTTCCGGACCCGGTCGGGGGAATAACCAAAATAAGTTGGGAGTAGGAATGTCTTTTTAGATTTATATGACTTTTCCATGAAGCGTTGTGCTAGCCGCTCACTCAGCGCTGAAGAGCAGAACTACAGTACTGACCGACATATCCCTCAGGATTCAAAATAAATATTAATCCTATTCTTGTGACGTTCCAAACCACCCTGGCTTGGCTTCCGCGCTCGCCTTTTTATAAGCTGTTTGCTTTAAGACAAACCCACTCAAATAAAAAATATTAAACCTACACACTCGCTCCAGATCATATTTTAGTGTACGAAGAGGAGAAATAGACCTGGAAGACTGTGGATCAAAACTGTTGGAAGTCTTTCCTCCGGGTTTCCAGTATTGTGAGATCTGTTTATGGCCGACATCGCTCCCCATCCTCCCTCAGCGCCTCACTCTTAACACTCCTAACACACAGGCAGTGTCTCAACTAACACCCTATTCCATACTTTTGACCAGAGCCTTATGGGCCCAGAGAGAGAGACTATGGACCCAATGGGCCCTGGTCAAAAGTAACACACTATGTAGGGAATAAGGTGCCATTTGGAACACAGCTCAGGCTGCCAGTACCTATATGTTAGCAGTGGAAAGTCTCCCATCCCATCCTGACCCTGTTGGCTGGCAGGCAGGCAGGCGGTCTCTCTCTCTGGGCTCTGTCTTCTCCCTCAGCGCTCAGCTCCAAACCCCAGCCCCCAGCCAATCACTGAGCACTCTAATTAGGGACGACCACGATGGAGCCTGCGGTCGCCGGCGTCTACTGGGGCCCTAGGCCTGGAGCCAGGAGGTTGGGAGGGATAGGGGGATGGAGGCTGGATGGATGGGGGATGGAGGGTTAGAAGGATGGATGAGGGAAAGGAAACATAGAGGGATGGAGGCTGGAGGGATGGAGGATGGAGGAAGGATGGAGGAATGGAGGATAGAGGGATGGAGCAGGGGCCCATGTGGTGGCTCACCGACCACCTGGGACACTCACGCATGGTTTTCTGCTTCCCCAAGAATGGTTCCTTATTAAACATGTGATAGTGACAACGTTTTAACAGTATCGTCATTGACCAATATGGTTGAAAAATCAATTTTTTGTATTATTTGTTTGTCCTGAAGTTTTGGGATATATATATATATACTTTATCATATAGGCCGAGCGAAAGAGAGATCGAGACAGAGACAGAGAGAGAGAGGGAGAGACCAACAGAAAGAAGGAACCAGGGAGAGCGACAGACAATTCTCAAAAGACCCTGGGTCTGAACCACATGGTATCTTACCCGCTATGGCCCCTGAGAACAGCAGCTTGCCTGGTCCAATCCTCCCATCCTCATCACTCATGTAGGCCTTGACGTGCGCATAGCAAGGGAAGTAGATGGCTGAGAAGGGGATGTCTCGCAGGAAACAGGCTTTGGCTCCCTGTGGATGGTGAAGAGAGACAGAAGAGACAGAGGGGTGAGGAAAGAGAGGGGTAAGGACAAGAGGGGGGGATTGAGAGAGGGGGTGGAAAGAGAGGGGGGGATTGAGAGAGGGGTGTGGAAAGAGAGGGGGGGATTGAGAGGGGTTGTGGCACGAGGGGGTGGGGTTGAGCAGGGGGTGTTGACGAGGTGGGTTGGAGGTGGGTTGACGAGAGGGTGTTGTGCGGGGGGGGGTTGAGAGCGGGTTTTTTTGTTCCCCGCTAGGGGGGATTTGCTTTTTTTTTTCCTCTCTTTTGGGTTTCTTTCGCTCGGGGTGTGAGCGCGGGGGGGGAAGGAATTGCTCGCGGGGGGTTGGGGGCGTGTTGCTCCTTTTCTGGAGGGGTGCCCCCCTCTTCCCGGACAGACTGGAGGGGAGAGAAATAAGTTTCGTAAGAGACAGAAACTTTCTTTGAGGAGGGCTCACATACAGTCCTGTAACCCTTTCCTTTTTCTGTACCAGATGTGGAAAATATACTGTACATGCATATGTTTTCTGGGATGGAAAGATGTTACCTTCAACAGTTTTGCTTTTTCCAGTTCCATCGGAACATCATTTGTCATAGCATAGCTTGTGGTTTTATTTCTGAGAGATCTAACCACAAAATGTCTAAGACTGGTTTCTGTTCCTGCCCCTCTGTATTTGAAAAGCTGGCACCTTACACATCACTACGGCTCTGAGTGTTTCCTGCTGACCAACTCATCACCTCTCCTCACTTCTCTTCTCCTGCTTTGGAGAGATGAGAGTGTGTGTGAGAGAGAGAGAAGAGAGAGAGAGAGATAGAGAGATAGAGACGAGAAGAGAAGAGAGAGAGAGAAGATAGCAGAGAGAGACGAGATAGAGAGAGAGATCAGGAGCGAGAGATGAGAGTCTAGAGAGTGAGTAGCAGCGAGTATAGCGAGACTGAGGGAACCGCGCATATTGACTGCGATTTGAACTAGCGAGAGAGATATAGTCAGCGAGATAGAGGAGCGCGAGTAGAATCGAGGATCGAGAGAGAGCGATCGAGAAAGAGAGAGGAGAGTAAGAAGACGAGAGATCAGGGAAAGAGGAGGAAGATTGCCTCTGTCCGTCACCGTAAACAAAGCCATATCTTCAACCAGATTACGTTTCATCTTATCCCCCCCCCCCCTTGGCTGCCATCCAGGTGATGTTGAGGTTGTTGAGGTAGGGGAAGAGAAAGGGAAGGCTCTCCCTTCAACAGAGTAGTTTAACGCCAGGGTTGCATCCCAAATGGCACCCTATTCCCTACATGGTACACTACCAGAGCCCTATATGGATTACCTTTGGGCCCTGGTCAAAAGTAGTGCACACTATATAGGAATAGGGTGCCAGTTGGGACGCAGCCAGGAGAAGTGCTCCTTTAGACGGGCTTCATTTAACTGCTGGGGTTAGTCCTACCACTCATACAAAACTTGCACAGATACCTCACTGTATGGGTATCTCTTCTGTCCTCAAAGGCTTTCACTTCTTTCTCCCCTGCCTGCCCTCCGCTCCCCGCCAGGGCCGCCATGCCAGACTGCCTGCTGAAAAGCTGCAGATACTATCGCCAGGACCCTGGTTCACATTCACAGACAGGCCTAGTACGGACTCAGCTCATCCTTGTGCCTGATGAGGCTGGGGCTGGGGCTGGAGAGGCTGGGATTAAATATGTGATTCATGTGATTCTACTGTGATTCATGTGAATCTACTGTGATTCATGTGAATCTACTGTGATTCTACTGTGATTCATGTGAATCTACTGTGATTCTACTGTGATTCATGTGAATCTACTGTGATTCTACTGTGATTCATGTGAATCTACTGTGATTCTACTGTGATTCATGTGAATCTACTGTGATTAATGTGATTCTACTGTGATTCTACTGTGATTCATGTGATTCTACTGTATCCATAATCTATTATGCCTTGTATTTTTTCTTCTTTTTCTGAATTATGGTCAGGCCAAGAGTGGCAGGCAGGTTGAGGTGATGGACCTGTGTGAATGCATGACAGTGTAGACCTACATAATATACAGTATGTGTCTCCTTCTGTCTATGACTATGAATGAGGGATTGTACATGGTGCATATAGTATGATTGATTATTAGTATGTGTGTCTATCTGAATGCCTGTGTGTATGAGCACCGGAGTACATACAAGTATGTGTTTATATGAGTGAATAGGTTTGTCTTGATAATTACTGCGCTGCACCTACAGCAACACCATACATGTGATAGCATCCTAGTTGGAGTTCTCACTGTGAGCAGTGGTGGCACTAGTGTGTCAGTCAGCAAGTCATCCAGTTAGTCAGTCAGTCAGCCAGTCAGTCAGTCAGCCAGTCGGTTAGTCAGTCAGCCAGTTAGCCAGTTAGTCAGTCAGTTAGTCAGTCAGTCAACCAGTCAGTCAGCCAGTCGGTCAGTCAGCCAGTCAGCCAGCCAGCAAGTCAGTCAGCCAGTCAGTCCAGTCAGTCAGCCAGCCAGCCAGCCAGTCAGTCAGTAAATCAGTCAGTCAGCCAGTCAGTCAGTCAGCCCCTCCAGCAGCAGAGCGGAGGTAGGTAGCAGGAAGAGGCAGAGAGAGGCTGAGGGGGAGGGTAATTAGCCTGACAAAGGGTGCTCTGTGCCTGGGCACAGCCCTGAGGAGCCAGCCCGTCTGGAGCTCGCTAGTCCTCCCTCCCGGCCCTCTTCGTCTCTGTCAATGCACATTGTCTCAGCAGCAGGACAGGACAGGAGACACAGACACAGGGGAGGACTAGAGGAGGCACCACCACTGTCATACCGGATTCAGCATTCTTATAGACATAATGGAGCACACATACTGTAGACGCACTCATATTCACGTTTGTGCGCACACACGCACACACACGCACACACACGCACACACACACACACACACCACACACACGGACAGACAGACAGACACAGACAAGTGGAGGCAGCAGGTTCAGCATTCTCACACACAGGCACACACACGCACACACACACACACACACTGATTGACAAACACAGACGACTGTCATGGGAAGAACCTTAGAAGAAATAGAACTGAAACTTTGCCACAAAAAGAGAAAGGGGTAGAATCTAAAAGCTATGGATAAAGGGACCTGGAGCTTTTAAAAAAACGTTTTTAAAGCTTTAATTTAAATGAAACCCAAATAAGTGTTAAAACCCACAGTTTTAATGAGTGATAACAGCCTAAATCAGAACTCTTTAAAAGGCTTCATGAATCAAAGACACTGATCATCGGTGCCCTTTTAAAAACCAACCTCTTCATAACGAGAATGACCCACAGTAGTTCTAAAATAAAGGTAACACCTGCTATCCACAAAGAGTCTCAGAGTCGAAAATGGGTCATAAGTGCTGAGAGACATTTTACTCCTCCTCTTATAGGTAGAAATAAAAGCATGAAGCCTCTTTAGTCATAAGAGTCCCGCATAGTCGACATATTTAGGAGACCTCGTGAGCTGTCCTAACCAGCAGGTGTCTTGTTAATAGAAAAAGGCAACCTGTCAGTGGTTCCTACACCACATGCAATTACTTTAGAGTTTAAATAATGTTTTGATATTTCTATATGATCAATGAATAAATAATCTAGACCTACATGGAACAGTATCTCTTCGCTTTTGACAATTATTTCACGAGGCCTATTTCACATGATATGCCTAAATACGTATAATCACTAGGCTAATAATTAAACATGTTTTTCTTTTGATTATTTAATTACCTACATCATGTTATTTCAAGTTATCACTTTGGAGCGCAATATCACATTGTTAAAAAAATATTCCTAAATTGGGCATGTCTATAAATTGGGCAACTGAAGGCATTTAGGGCTTACGTGAACTTTGATTATGTTCAACGATAATAATAGACCTTTCCAACGTTGTATGCAACATTATCGACAAGTGACTTGATGCCTACTGTGCAAAAGCGACTTAGAGTTGCTAAAGGGAGTGATGAGAGTGTTGATATAATGGTAATATTGTCAACTTCCACTTTTAACAACCATATTAGGCAATAATTAAGAGTAGGAAAATAACCTCTCCCTCAACGTCAACAAAATGAAGGAGCTGATCGTGGGCTTCTTTAAACATCAGAGGGAGCACGCCCCTATCCACATCGACGCGACCGCCGTGGAGAAGGTGGAAAGCTTCAAGTTCCTCGGCATACACATCACTGATGATCTGAAATGGTCCACCCACACAGACAATGTGGTGAAGAAGGCGCAACAGCGCCTCTTCAACCTCAGGAGGCTGAAGAAATTCAGCTTGGCCCCTAAGACCCTCAGAAACTTTTACAGATGCACAACTGAGAGCATCCTGTCGGACTGTATCACCGCCTGTTACGGCAACTGCACCGCCCACAACCGCAGGGCTCTCCAGAGGGTGGTGCGGTCTGCCCAACCCATCACCGGGGGCACAATGCCTGCCCTCCAGGTCACCTACCGCACCCGATGTCACAGGAAGGCCAAAAAGATCATCATGGACATCAACCACCCGAGCCACGGCCTGTTCACCCTGCTATCATCCAGAAGGCGAGCTCAGTACAGGTGCATCAAAGCTGGGACCGAGAGACTGAAAAACAGCTTCTATCTCAAGGCCATCAGACTGTTAAATAGCCATCACTAGCCGGCTACCACCCGGTTACGTAACCATGCACCTTAGAGGCTGCTGCCCTATGTACATAGACATGGAATCACTGGCCACTTTAATAATGGAACAATAGTCACTTTAATAATGTTTACATACTGCTTTACTCATTTCATATGTATATACTGTATTCTATTCTACTGTATTTTAGTCAATGCCACTCCGACATTGCTCATCCTAATATTTATATATTTCTTAATTCCATTCTTTTACTTTTAGATTTGTGTATTGTTGTGATTTGTTAGATACTGTTGGAGCTAGGAACACAAGCATTTCGCTACACCCGCAATAACATCTGCTAAATATGTGTATGTGACCAATAACATTTGATTTGATTTGATTTTCTTTGAAGTGATTGTGTCAGGCAAAAATGATATAAAACGTTTTACCATTGTGACATTTGATGTATCCAGTCACATTCACCATGGTTGTCTGAAGCATGCTATAGAATTCACAGCTGACAATGCCTCATCGCGATTCGTTATTCACCATAATTTGCAACAATGTCAATGAGAGTCATCACTATCTTTACTTTGCGGTACCTCCAGCAGGGATACACTTTTATGAGTTGATTTTACTCCTGATTCAGAGTTTGTCTGAGCAGCGTCTTAACGTCATCCTAAAACCTACTCTGAGCTGGGAGTTTTAGTTTGTCTTAAAAAAGGTTTTAACAGGATTCCTAGGGCCTTTTGTGAGATGCTTTGTGGATATAGGCCCAGAGCTCAAATCAACATTGCCTTGAATAGAAAACGAAGACTCCTCTACCTACCTGAGTCAATGGTATTCAGTCTATTATTACCATGGCCATTGTTACACAGTTAGCTCACATTGGTTATACTTGAAACACTTATGTTTCAGCCTGCTACCTCGCCCTAGGGCCCCTGTGGGCCACAGTCCCTCATAGGCCCTCACTAGCAATTTCAGCTGCTAATGTAGCTAGCCAGCTAGCCAGCTGGACGATTCACTCTGTGAACTCAATGGCCTGACAGGGAACTGGGGGATAAAATGTACCTGTCTCACAACAACAACAACAACAACAACAACAACAACAACAACAACAACAACAACAACAACAACAACATGGATCATTAGCATCCCAATCTATGGCCACTGTTGTGGCTGGGGGATGCTGGTGACCATGGGGGGATGATGAACCCCCCAAGCCTGTGTGTTCTTAGGCCTGATGAGAAGCCCACTGGGGGAGGGGGCTTTTGTATTTATTAAGGAGCCCCATTAGTTCCTACCAAGGCAGCAGCTACTCTTCCTGGGGTTTATTAAGGATCCCCATTAGTTCCTACCAAAGCAGCAGCTACTCTTCCTGGGGTTTATTAAGGATCCCCATTAGTTCCTGCCAATGCAGCAGCTACTCTTCCTGGGGTTTATTAAGGATCCCCATTAGTTCCTGCCAAGGCAGCAGCTACTCTTCCTGGGGTTTATTAAGGATCCCCATTAGTTCCTGCCAATGCAGCAGCTACTCTTCCTGGGGTTTATTAAGGATCCCCATTAGTTCCTACCAAGGCAGCAGCTACTCTTCCTGGGGTCCAAACACATTAAGGCACTTACATACACATAAAACAAAAGATAAAACAGTACATATAACATTATTACACCACTACATATCTACAATACAAAATGTATAATACCACCATACAACAATATTACAATGTACGTGTGTGTAGAGTGCGTATGTTATCGTGTGTGTGTATGCATGTGTCTGTGCCTATGTGGTTCATAAGGTGTATTTTAATCTTTCTTTTTTTTATCGATTTATTCTGCTTGCATGAGTTACTTGATATCGAATAGAGTTCCATGTAGTCATGGCTCAATGTAGTATTGTGCACCTCCCATAGTTTGTTCTGGTCTTGGGGACTGTGAAGAGATCTCTGGTGGCATGTCTTGTGGGGTATGCATGGGCGTCCGAGCTGTGTGAGATTAGTTCAAACAGATAGCTCGGTGCATTCAACATGTCAATACCTCTCACAAATGCAAGTAGTGATGAAGTCAATCTCTCCTACACTTTGTGCCAGGAGAGATT